TCAGAGGTCTGTTAGTGTGTGAATCGAATAGACAGTATAGCTCGCTTACTTGTCAGAGTTTTTTGACTTTGGGAGTCATTTCTGTGCAGTATCCTGCACAATTAGGGTGTTTTGTAGTAGCCACAGGGAGCTCCTTGCCTAAAGCCTTCATGTCGGAGACTGACCAGCCTACAGGACACTTCCTCCCCTTGGGGAAGACCATAATGCAGTTGTCCTCCTCATCCTGCCCTGCTCAGAGAAGCCGGGACCTAGCTAGGTGTGTTGACATAGAGAACAGAGGACAGAGGAGGTAGTCGCTGTCCTGGGTCGGCATCTCTCGGAGGGTCCCTCTCTGTGTACCTGAGTGCCTCCCCTACCCCCGCCGTTTTCTTCCTTTGTGGAGGGAGGTGGCCTGGGGTGGAGACAAGGTCCTTATTTTAGAATGTAAAATTATGAAATAATTTAGGCATGCAGGAAAATACAGAAACAAATATAACACACATGTTTGTAACTAAACCAAGGTTAGAGGTGTTAGCATTTCGCCATATTAGCATCACAATTTTTGAAAAAAAGGAGTAAGATGCAGCGCTGGAGCCCTGCCCCATGTGTCCTCTCCCCACCTCCAGGCAGAGTTTGTCTGTTACTTTTGGATGTATAAAACTTTGACTATATGTGCGTTCATAAACATATACTGCTGTTTTGTTTCTAAAAATTACATACAGATCAACCCTTCATTGCCTTCTCTTAATTCAACCTGATATTTTTAAGATTTGAACTGTTTCTAATTTTTTTTTTATAAAGATTTGTTTGTTTATTTGAAAGAGAGCAGGAGAGACAGAGAGAGATCTTCCAGTGCACTGGTTCACTCCCCAGGTAGCTTCAATGACCAGGCCTGGGCCAGGCTGAATCCAGGAGCTCAGAGCTTCATCTTCATCTCCTGTGAGGGTGGCAAGGCCCCAAGTGCTTGGGCCATCTTTCGCTTTCCCCGGGCCATTAGCAGGGAGCTGGATTGGAAGTGGAGTAGCCAGGCCTTGAACCAGCACCCATATGGGGTGCTGGCATCGCAGGCGGCAGCTTTTCCCGCTGTGGAACGACACCCACCAGCCTCGGTTTGAACCGTTTTAGTATGGGGTCTCATTCCTCTTTCCTGCCGTGCAGAGTTTAATCATGTGATTACAGCAAAGTTAATTTACCTGCTATTTTAGAGTTCGAGTGTGTCGTCCGCTTGGTGATTTTAAAGAGGGCTGCACGGAATATCCTTCCTGGGACACACAGGGGCATCTCCTAGGCGTACACTGGCAAGCCTCTTTGCTGGGCTCTCGGATCATTTCATTAATTGTTGAGGCTAGGCAAAAAAGCGCAGGATACGGTGAGGTGAAAAAAATAGAGTCCAGCATTGTGCCCATTTAGCGTGATACAGAGCTGCAAACGTTCATACATGTGTCCTTATTGGGACTGCTTCCCAAAATAAATACCTAAAGTCAGTGAATCATTTTTAGCTATACTTTCAGTCTCCAAAAATATTTGGAAGAATTCACAATTCTTTGAAAATTGGAATAACTTTTCTGTTATTGTGTGTGCTCATGCACCACTTTTAAGGGTTCTCTTTATTTAGAAATGAGTGGAGTAGATTATTTTTAAATAACAAAAGTTCTGATCCCAGACATTTTCTGGAGATTTCCACTTAGTTCAGCTTAGTGATACTGTTGTTTTTATTTAAGTGTCTAGAGGCACAGAGTGGTTGCTGAGCAGTGGGTCACTGGCTGGATTAGTAGTTACTGACCAGCCAAGGCATGGTGCTGCCAGCAGTGTTGAGTTCGGGGTTTCCCACTGTTGGGTAGAGCTGGACACGTGTATAAATTGGTATGGTAGGTGTGATTGCATTTTGTGTGCCCTTTGAGTCGTCTTGCTTTAGAGATCCATTGAACAAATTCAAGCATTTCTTCTTTGAACAGCCATTTATTGACTGGAGAGTCCTTTCCCAGGAGACGTCTTTGAGGGAGGAGCTTGTAGTGTAATGATGCGGACTCACGGTAAATGGGTGAGCACACAGCAGTAGGGTAAACTAAGTAACTGAATCAGATGATAAAATGGGCAAGGCTGTGAGAAGGCGGTGGTCGGGGCTGAGCCCAGCCAGTGTGGCCGTCAGGGAGAGGTGAGTTCCAGGTCAGAAGCCCTCCGCGCAGCGCTGCTGGTGCACAGTAACTGTCGGGTAGTCACTGGTACTCTTAGTTACCGGAAATGGCTGAGACTAAGACCAATTAAAGAACAACAGCAACAACTCTGAGCTGCCAAAGTGGGTTTCGCGTGGCTGTGGGGCTAATAGCCAAGTTACTAGGTCAGATAATCAAACAGCCAGGAAAGTGCCCGCGCTCTCCTCCTGGCCTAGTCGTCTGGGCTCTCAGCGTCATCCTTGTCACGCTGTGTGGTGCCCCAGTCCTCAGTACGGGAGTGCAGCTGGGGTGTAGGTTGAGCCACACAGCGAGCTGCCTGTGCAGTGGTTGGGGGCCTCCCTTGTGTTGTGCTGGCCCTGCGGCCCTGCGGATTTATGTTCATGGTGATGATGCTGTGGTTTAAGGAGTCTCAGAAGCAGATAGATACTTGAATGCCTGGCAGATAAACAAAACCATAAAGTGGTTATTAAAGAATTAGACATTAGTTTCAGGCAGGTGGATATTATATTCAGAAGTTGGTTTTTAAAGGTAACACTTAAAATAATGCATATTTTAGAGAGAGCAAACTTTTTAACTTATAGTTTAGTCTGAAGTAGTAGCAGTATTTCTGTCAACTTCCAGAAAGGTTATTGTTTTTCTGATGACAGTGTCAATAAATGAATAGAGGACATAGCTCATTGTACAGCTGGAAATGTGAGGCCGGGACAGGTATGTGGTCAACCATATTCACACAGCCGAGCTGGACTAGGAACTGGGCTCAGATTTCATGGCTGTCTAACACAGAGATTCGCGACTGAGCTGGACTTCAGGAAGTATTGCTGCTGGGGGCTCCCTCCGAGACGAGATCCAGCCGGTGCACACGAGGGTACCTGAGTGCACCACCCTCTGTGGCCCACAGACTGAGGCGCCAGTGACGTTGGTCCAAGCTAACAAATTAGACCTTGTATCTGAAAGGACAGCCCCCGGGCTGCTCATGGTGGGGGACGTTAGTAAGAACCGAGGAGTGGACCTGTAGGCTGGGGTCGCCCTGGCAGGTTGCCCAGGATGTACACTGTTCTGTCTCCACTGAAGGTGGGCCTGTGCTCGCACACGTCCTCCCCATCCTGAGCTGCCCACATTCCTGCCGTTGGAATAGACAGTGACTGATTCTGGGAGTTTGTGCCTGCTGTCATGTTAGTCGGTTCCTACAATATGTCCTCTTGTAATCTGGCGTAGGCAAGAGGGCCCCCCTCCCCAAGTAACACTTCCATATTGTGCGTAAGGGTTTCTGTAAACCGGAAAGCCAACACAGTCAAGTGCAGTTCCTAGGGGAGCTGCTGGCTGTGCTGATGGAGCTTTGCAGTCATTTTAACACTGGCAGAAAGTGTTATCCTAACTGCTCCAAATCAGACTGCAGAGATGCTTGTGTGAAAGATAGTATTAGATATCAACTCAAACATATGGGTGTTGAGCGGGAGGATGTGTGGTGGTGGTGCCTGGTATTCCAGCATGTGGAGCTGTGTTTTGTGGAAATTCTTGGGTTTGGCTTATGGCAGGGACATACATTCATTATGAAGTATCAGAGTGTAGGATAAATAAAAGCAAAGAATTCCGCAGTGCACACTTGTCTGCGCTGTGCCACCAGAGGCGCGTCGTCCACACTGTCTGTGATTGCTGTAGCAGGGCTGGGTCCTGAGTGGGCCTGGGTCAGGGGAAACGGCGACTTCCACTTCGCGCCTTTTTGCCTTTTGCCCACTGTTTCTGGGAGAGCCTGTGCTAAGACGTCCGAGAGCAGAAGGTGTTGGTACTGTCCTCTTGACCGTTCCTCCCTCTTCCCGCCGTGAGTTTGGTGGTCGGGTAGCCGTGTGGTACCACACTTAACTGCACTGTGGGCCCCTGGGGCTCCAGGCCTGGAACTCTCAGCTGGGCCCTGGGATGTCACCCATTCTCAGCTCCAAGGTGCTTTCTGCCGACCTGGTGTGTCTTGTTTTCCTTTCTCTTTCATGCTCCCTCTCCCCATTGCGGGGGGGGGTGGGGGGGTGGGGGGGTGGGGGAAGGGGAAGCAGTCGTTAGACTCCTCATTGAAAACAATTTTGAAATATGGTCAATGGGTTGTGTATCCGCTGCATGGCAGAGGACCTTCCCTGGCGCTGCGGTCAAGGTCTTGGCTCCTGTGAGGTCGAGGCAGCCGGACCTTCTGACTATGCCCCCAGCGTTTGCACTGCACGACAGACACTTCGCTGAGGCTGTTTTATCAACTCAGGAAATGGTAATAGCCCTTTGCTAGGCAAGAGTCCCTTTCCTTCAGGAGCTCATATTGGTGGCTGTACTGTTTGGCAGAATCGATATTCTCTAAAAGGAAAGTGTCTTTAGCCTAAGGATACAGTTGCTAACATCGCTGGCGTGCCTCTGCTGTGAGTGTCACTGTCGGCCGTCCCATAGCTGTTCTGTACCGGGTGAAACACGCAGGCCTCACGCGTCCTATGAAGTCTCAGGCAGTTGACTCGGATGTGGGAGATTATGTTCATTTGCAGTGTTGCAAGGGGGTGTCTCTTCAACTTCTCAGCACAGGCATTGATGTTGGTGTTAGAAGCCTTTTTTCCCCATTTACTTTGTATGATATAATTAATACTTAATATTTCACAAGATATGATTGCTTTAAAGGCAAAGTCATGTTATCTTTTGACTTCATTGATGGTATGTGAGTAGAAGGCAGCATGTCGATTTAATCTAATGAAGAAGATTAAAAATATTGAACTCAGTTGCCTAGCAAAGAAGTCACTATATGTTGCTGACTTGAAACCATATTTGATTTCATTTAATTGCACGTTTTTATTTTCTCATTTGCTTTGCTTGACTTTTTGACAGCTGCCACCTCAGTATGGACAGCAAGGTGTGAGCGGTTACTGCCAGCAGGGCCAGCAGCCTTACTACAACCAGCAGCCGCAGCCCCCGCACCTCCCGCCGCAGGCGCAGTATCTGCCGGCCCAGTCCCAGCAGAGGTACCAGCCGCAGCAGGTGAGCACAGCCCCTGCTCCCAGGCCCCGTTCTCTCCTCCGGGTCTGTGTTCAAGGCAGACCGGGCTCCCAAAGTCGTCTTGTCCTATCTTCAGAATTGTGTTCTTGATGGGAAAACGTGGTTTTGATTAATTGCAGAACTAGAGCCTCACCTGTCCTCCCACCCTGCCTGCCCCCTCTCCCTTCCGGCCCTTGGCTCTCTGCTCTCCTCTGTCCCTGTCTGAGACTGAGCGGGAGAGCCACGTGTTTAATAGCTGCTTGCACGCTGGTTCATGACAGCCAGCTTGGGTCGCATGCCATCTCCATTCTGAGTCTCAAGGAAGCGCCCGCGTCTCTGGAGGTGTTCGGTGGGGAGAGCTGCATCCGGGGTCCTTGTTTTCCTCGGGCCTTGTCTTGTTTCTGTTTTGGGGCAAGTGCAAGTGCACTGCCTCAAACACTGTTGCCTTTGACACTGTTACTACTCTCCGTCTGCAAACTCACGAGAGCATCACCTCAGTTACGGTATGTTAAGATGCTAACAGGAGTGGTGTTCTTATCTATATCAAGCAGCTCTAGTCTAAATTCGCCTCATTGAATAATCTCCTAGGTAATTAGGGCATCTATTTCAGCATACATGGTTTGCAGGAAGGTAATGCATATGCATTTGGTACGGAGATTTAGATTTGGTTTTAGAAACTATCACTCATGAGTGACATGAAAAGGAGGCCCATCAAGGAACTCTCGCTGGGAATTCAGATACGACTTTGCAAGCAGCATGTCCAGTCCTAAGCATCAACATATAATTCCATTTCAACTTTCTCTCTGCTTTCTCTGTGGTGAAAACAGGAAGGACACGTGGCTTTGACTTTCCATTTTTAAAGGGCATCTTATTTGGCCTGAATAACTGTTGGCATTAAGCAAAAAGTTAGTGTATGGGCCTTAATTTTAATACATTCAGCTGATTTCTTAAGTATTTGCTTGGGTTTGTTGAGGTCAATTCTCAAAGGACTTACTACAGCCAGTTTATGCCTTTAAGGTGAGCCTGTTAAAACAGTGGCTGAGGTTCAGGCTTCTGTGCCATTCTTGGTTTTGGTAGGTGTGTTTTCAGAATTCTGGTGACAGATCTGGGGTTGGGGAGATGGCGATGTACAATGTTTCAGAGTTATCTGGTCCAGTGCTTTATTAAAGTGTCTGAAAACTTGAAGACACTTTAAGTATCAGTTCTTTTCAAGTCAAGTGAGAGACTGTATCTGGGTTTGTGATTAAGCAGCGTTTTAAAGCAGGGCTCAGAGCCTCACTGAACTTATCTGTAGATATGGAATGTTTTGTCAAGTCATCAAAACCTGAGGCCTCATAAGAGCGATTACAGTTTCCATTTTACTTTAGTGTGCTGAAGTGAATCTCTGATTATAAAGCCAGTTTGATTAAGGATTCCGCGTGCCTGTCATTTCCTTCAAGGCCAAGTTCAAAATTGACTTCCTTTATGAAGCGTTCACTGATGACTTGCAGCACGTGGCAATCATCTATTGAATATCCTTCACACTTAAATTTTTAAAACATCCTACAGGAGGAATCTTCCTTTACTGAATGTTATTTTATGTGCTTAGTTTAGGGCTATCTTATATTTTGATTGATAATTATTTAATAATTATTTCAATTATGATAAGAAATACTGTATAATGATGACTCTTTTGTAAATGTGGTCATTTAAAAAATATTTTCAGTGAAACCACACATTCTTTCAAGGGTATGTTGGTGTGTTTTTCTTGTGTTCAAACTGCCTAGCTGTAGAATGGGAATGGTTGAGTGTTTTTTTTTTGTTGTTTTGTTTTGTTTTGTTTTTTTGACAGAGTGGACAGTGAGAGAGAGAGACAGAGAGAAAGGTCTTCCTTTTGCCGTTGGTTCACCCTCCAATGGCCGCCGTGGCTGGCGCACAGTGGCCGGCACGCAGCGGCCGGCGCACCGCGCTGATCCGATGGCAGGAGCCAGGTGCTTCTCCTGGTCTCCCATGGGGTGCAGGGCCCAATACCTGGGCCATCCTCCACTGCACTCCCTGGCCACAGCAGAGAGCTGGCCTGGAAGAGGGGCAACCGGGATAGAATCCGGTGCCCCGACTGGGACTAGAACCCGGTGTGCTGGCGCGGCAAGGCGGAGGATTAGCCTAGTGAGCCGAGGCGCCGGCTGAGAATTTTAAAAATCTCATTAAACTCATGTGGGACCAAGAGGTAGAGGTTGGAGACAGATGCCCTAATCAGGTGGTCTGGTGTGATAGAAAGAGTCCTGGTGTTTCATGGCTTTGACAGATTGGGAAAACTTCTCCAAGAATAGAAATATGGCACTGTAGAGACAGTTAGCACTCCAAAACCAAAATTTCCTCAAATCAATCCTAAAACAAAGTAAAAATTATTAGTAGAATGTTAATAAGCCAATCCCAAAGGGACAAATACCACTTGTTCTCCTTGATAGGTGACAACTAACTGAGCACCAAAAAGGAAACCTGTTAAAGTGAAATGAACACTGTGAGAAACGGTGACTTGATCAGCCCTCACCCTGACTGTTGATGAGCAACTTGATGTTATCCCTCTTAGTATTTTTTTTGTTTGTTCTACTTAATACTTTTGGTTGAATACTGTAATCAATACACAATTCTTCTTAAGAGCTGACACTTAACTGAAAAATGATCGCTATTAAATGTAAGAGTGGGAATAAGAGAGGGAAGAGATGTGCAATTCGGGACATGCTCAAGCTGACTTACCTCAAACGGTAGAGTTCGAAACATACCAGGGGATTCCAATTCAATCCCATCAAGGTGGCATGTACCAATGCCATCTCACTAGTCCCAGTGATCAATTTCTGTTCACAATTGATCATAATGATAGGACTAAGAACCAAAGGGATCACATAAACAAGAATAGTGTCTGCAAATACTAGCTGATAGAATAAAAAAGGGAGAGAATGATCCAACATGGGAAGTGAGATACACAGCAGACCCATAGAATGGCAGATGCCCTAACAGCACTCTGGCCTCAGAATCAGCCCTTAAGGCATGTGGATCTGGCTGAAAAGCCCATGAGACTATTTCAGGCATGGAAAGCCAAGATACTCTGGGGGAAAAAAAAAACCTAAATGAAAGATCTCTGCGAGTGAGATCCCAGTGGAAAGAATGGGTCATCAAAGAAGGAGGTACCTTTCTCTGAAGGGAGGAGAGAAAAAGAAAAGAAAAGCAAGGGGAGTATCCAGACAAAAGTCTCTTTCTAGTCTTAGTTCCCCTTGCCCACTTCACTACCTACCCTAAGCAGCATGATGTAGTGTTTTTTTTTTTTTTTTTAACATTTTCCCTATTTTTGTGCAAATGATGGCATACTACAGCATACCATACTCATTCTTCTGGGTTTTTTGGTCATCCCCTTTCCCAACTCACTTAAATTTATTTTTTGGAAAGCTTTCCAAAAAAGTCCATGAAGTGATCCCTCAATTCTTTTTTATAGTTATATTACATTTTGTTGACATACCATAGTATGTTTGAGATTATTTCTAGTTTGAAAATGAAACATGCAGTTGTAATTTACATTGTTGCCTTTGTGAAGTTTCATAAAGGCAACCTTACCTGTAGGACGACTTCCTAGATTCAGTGCTGCTGGGCCAGAGGCTATGTGCAACTTTAATTCTGGTAAATTTATGATTGCTCTTCACAGACGTTTTACTGATCTTTATTCCCACCATCTATGTGAGATGTTCCCTATACATGCCATGTTTTTTGTTTTTAAATATTTTTATTTATTTATTTATTCAACAGGCAGAGTTACAGAGAGAGAGAGGGAGAAACAGAGAAAGAGGTCTTCCATCCGCTGGTTCACTGCAGATGGCTGCACCTGCTGGAGCTGGGCCCATCCAAAGCCAGGAGCCAGGAGCTTCTGTCCATGTCTCCTATGAGAGTGTAGGGGCCTAAGCACTTGGGTCATCTTCCATTGCTTTCTCCAGGCCATCAGCAGAGAGCAGGATTGGAAGAGGAGCAGCTGGGACACAAACTGGTGCCCAGTGATAGCCCCGGTGCCATGGTTTTATGAAGCTTCTGGATTTTTACCAATCTCATAACGAACGTTTTAGTTTACATTTGTCTTGTTAAAAAGTATTGTGCAGTGTCTTCTTAAACATTTGTTTGTATTTTTGTTTTCTTTTTTCTACAGTCTACATTGACTTTTTTTATCTTGATTTTTTTAGTTTTTGGTCTTTTTTAAACTTGATTTATAAAAACTCTTTATGTATTAGAGAGATTGAACATTTGCCTGGGATACAGTATCCTTCCACCCCTAATCTTTTCAGTTATCTTTTGACAGTGATAGTAGGTTTATTGTCATGTATAATAGTTTTTTAAAAAATTATCTTGTCAAGGGGCTGGCATTGTGGTGTTCAGGTAAAGTCGTCACCTGCAGTGCCAGCACCCCATATGAGCACCAGTTCAAGTCCCAGCTGTTCCACTTCTGATCCAGCTCTCTGCTATGGCCTGGGAAAGCAGTAGAAGATAGCCCATGTCCTTGGGCCCCTGCACCCATGTGCGAGACCCGGAAGAAGCTCCTGGCACATGTGTGCATCTAAACATACAGAAATTAACTTATTGTGAGGAATTGGCTCAAGTAAGTCCAAAATGGGCAGTGTGAGCCATGGGAGCCGGGCAGCTGGAGCCATAGCCGTTGCTATGGTGCAGGGCTTCAGGCTGGAGACCTGGGAGGGCCAACGGTGCGGTGCAGTGGAGGCTGGCTGCTGGAACCCTCCCTCCCTCTTGCTGTTCATTCCAGTCCCCCCTGCAGACTAGCTCCGGAGGACAAGCTGCTGAACCCAAAGCTACCAACTGAATCGCTTATTTCAGCTAAAAACAGCCTCCAAGTTGGCACATAAAATAAACCATTGCAGCAGTATCTATCCTTTTTTCTTTTTTTTATTTTATTTATTTATTTATTTATTTATTTTTAAATTTTTTGACAGGCAGAGTGACAGTGAGAGAGAGAGACAGAGAGAAAGGTC